GAGGCTACCATCAAACCTTCCCCAACTGGGAGGCAGCAGCAGAACCAGTACCAGCAGCAGCAGCAGCAACAGCAGGCTATAACCAGACCAACGGAGGCGGAGAAGAAAGCAATTCATACTGGTTTGGGTCTGGGGGGCAAGAACTTGGCTTTGTTAAAGCATGAGCGCGATACGGCCAATACCTCCATCAATGCAGAGGCCGCAACGCCTGCGCCCAAGCGCAAACTCAATTTAGAGGAGTACAAGAAGCGCCGCTGCGGTACAATTGTTACATCATCCAAAACGGTGGCGGCGCCGACTGCCATGCCTGCCAAGCAAGTAAAAGTGGAGCCTGGCAAGGTGGTGCCACCAACAACACTTATTCAGAAGGCGCAACAATCGCCGCACAAAGCAGCCATCAGCAACATTGTCAACAGTCTGAAGCATCCGCCATGCGAGGCAGCAGTTCCAACAGATCCCATCACTGTGGCCAAGAACAAGGTGCTGCGGATGCTGGAGATGAAGCGAGCACAGCAGCTAAAGATTATTGATTCGCGGGTGTCGGCGAAAGTGCCCAGAGTGACGAAACTGCCGCCTCTCAAAGATATTATTAAGGACACCAACTGCATGGAGACTGAGCCCGAGACGGACGCAGCGCCCACAACGCAAGCCGTGGCCAGCAGTAAGCTGCAGGCGGACTATGAAGAGATTATCATTGTTTCGGTTAGCTGTAACACGGACATTACGATACCGCCGCATCAGGCGAGTGTTGCGCTTAGAGACAACAAGACAACGACAGCCTCATCGCGTTCATTGTTGAAATCCTCGGTGCTGTTGTACAACATCTCCAATGGCAATGATGCGTGCAAGGACATGACCAACTCGCTGATAGCCAGCATACAGAGTGAGGTGGTTAAACAAACGAATTGCGAGGCACTGGTCACAACTACAGTAGCCACAGCGGAGGCTGCAGATAAGAATGGACAGCATGGCGAGGATATGGTCATCATGCATCTGCCCAAGAATCGGGTCCGCAAGCGCATGGTCAGCATGGCTACACAGACTGATCTGCAACCCGAATTTCCATTGCTGACATTGCCGACGGCACGGCAATCGCGTGATCGAACGCGTCGCTCTTATCGCAAGCGTCACATCGAAGGCTCTGCACCCAATGAAACCAGCTGCAGCTCATCCTCGTCCTCCACGTGCAGCAGCATGGCCTCATACCGCTCACGCTCCAACTCAACGGAACGCTTGCGGCATTCCGATGCAATGGCAGCCTGTGGCAGCAGTATTGGCGGTGGCGGCTACTCGTCGCGCAGCACACGTCGCCATCGCAGCTCGGTGAGTTCCTCGTCCAATTCGGAAGCTGGAAAATACGAACGCCAGCAGCGACAGCGTCGCACGAGTTACAATAAACGGCGATCGAAAAATCAGACGCGCGACCGTTGCTCCACATCGGGCTCTGAGTTCAGCGATCGTGATCGGAGTCGCAGTCCGCACAGACGTTCGCGTTCGCGGTCCACATCAGCCACTCGCTATGGTAGTGGCAACAACAACAACAACAATAGGCGTGGCTATGCCGATCGCAATGTATCGCAGCCAGCTGTTGAGGAGCGTCGCATTGTCTATGTGGGTCGCATTGAGGCGGACACCACCAAGGAGATGTTACGCCGGAAATTTTTGCCCTATGGCAATATCAAACAAATAACCATACACTACAAGGAGAATGGGTAAGTTGACAACACATAATATACTTAAAAGCATATTCAGTTGTTAATTGAACTTTTTGTTATTGAGCAGCATGAAGTATGGCTTTGTGACCTTTGAACGTGCGCAGGATGCTTTCACGGCCATTGACACGAGTGCCAGAGATGCGCAAATCAATATGTACGACATTAGCTTTGGCGGACGACGCGCATTCTGTCGCGCCTCCTATGCCGATTTGGGTAAGTTGACAAGGTATTAAATCTTATTGACAGTATTAATTAAGTTTGACTATTTACAGACAATGCGGGTATCAACAACTACCATTCGTATGTGTTCCCAACTGCAGCACCAGCTGCACCGCCGCAGGAGGATTCGTTTGAAGCTCTGCTGTTGAAAGTTAAAGCAAAGTTAAATGCAGGCAAACCAGCTGCAGGAACAGCACCACCACCAGCAGCTGCAACGGAAACCGCAGCTATTGCCGCAGCGGATGGCAGCAACAGCAACAAAGCTAACGAATTGATTAATAGTCCAATTTGACAGCTTTATTGTAATTTGCAAATGGATTTGGTTTTATACTTATGATTGAACTAGCCACCAATATTTTGAGTTTCGACCCCGTATCCATCCCCAAAATATTCTTTGATGTAGATATATATGTATAGAGCATGAATTTGAACCGACAGAAAGCCTGATTATCATTCATAAACACTTTCATTATTTATTGTAAACTAGTTGACAATAGCATTGCAAACCATATGAAACTCGTGCCACTGCAGCCGAACAGTGAACGGTTTTAACAATCTACAGCGAATTGATAACAAATATGGAAATTATAAATGGAATTGTGATAAAAAGAAATACAAAGTCATTGATTGCATGTAAGTTAGCTGAAGCCACAGACCGCAATTAATGATGTAAAAAAAAAAAAAAAAAAATAGAAACAAGAAGGAGAATAATACAACTATAGATTGGAAATTGAAGTAAATAGCCATAACGTAACAATCGGAACGCATTCAGACAGCAAATAGTAAAATACTTACATCATGCAACAGCTATAGGAAATATACAAATGAAATACAATGTATTAACTGTATAGTACTATATAGAGAGAGAGCAAGGCACGCGCATGCTGCATGCGACGGTCACAAATTAAACTGTTGATAACTAAACTTTGATATTAGTTTGTAAAAGGAATATTTTGTACGTACGTAATTTTAATTTACTGGATATGATTATTTTGTAAATCAATTGAACTAATCAATGAACCGTAAACTATATAATAAATGCTGCCTTGAATTAACTATGTGCCTGTGCATGAATATGACAGGTAAATACATAAAATAGCAGCAACAATAGCTTAAACTTACCCTAAATTGCTTAACATACATTTGACTTAGAAATTGTTAATTCATAAAAAATCTGGCTGAGCCTTGGGCCTGGCTAACTCAACTAACTAGCTTCTCTTAGATATTCTTGTTAGGCTTACAGCGAAATTCTTATAAAGATACACTTTAAATTACAATTTGTTTTCCTAATTAAGTCAACTGAACTGGGTAATTAGGCGAAAAGAAATTTTGTTTAAGTTTTTTTGTACTACTCTCTTTGAATAATTTAATAAAATGCGCTAGTTGCAACAAATTGAAATGAAAACTGTTTGGACATTTCACTATTTACTTTTCATTTGAATTTGGAATATTTATGTTTGCTTATTATTAAAAAAATATATTTTGCAGGCTAAAGTTTTTTGCCAACATTCCAAAAGTTGAATTTTACTCTTAGCTGAGGGTATTTTATAATCAAAATTGCATTTAAATATATGTATGCAATTTAAATTTATATTTGATATAATCATTTATATAGTATATCTATATATACATTTATTTTGTATATATTTTCTTACAGACAGAGTAGTCTGTATTTGATGGTTTCTTCTTCAACTATGTATTTTTTTTTCGTAGACATGAGAGAGAGAGACACTTATGAGAGTTTTGTGCAACCGCACAGCCGCACATCTTGGCTTAGTTTAAAGCAATAAACTAAAAGTAGTTATATACATATACGAGGAAACGTATGTCGCCTGACATTCGCCTTGACTTGTCAGTTGCTTCGGGCTATAGTAAAACACATTTCTTTTTATGGCACTTGCCCCATTCATTTTTACCTATTTTCTTTGGATTCCGTTATTAGTTTTAAGGGATTTGAGAATCAGCTGCTTGTCAGTATGTCTGGCCCTAAACCTTGAACTCGTATGCATGCATATATATACGCGCGCACACACATACGTATCAACAGCTGGACCGCAAAGACAGTGATCGGAAAATTTTGTTGCATACTTTTAGGCGGCTCGATATAAAATATGTCTCCACAGACGTATATTATTGTGTGCTTCTCGCTTGCAATGTTGAAGTTAAAATGATTTTGCTTTATTTATTTTCTGCGAAAGATGTCATAAATATGTATGTATAAACTAAGCACTGGCTGTCAGCGTGCATTAGCTGTGGCAGTCGAAAATGGCATTATTAATTTCGTTATAAAATCTCCTCCTGCTGCCAGCAAGACAGTAGATTATATTGCCAGCAATAATACTTACAAGTATATAATAAAGAGAGATAGCGATATGTGCACATAAGCGCTCTTCAATATATGTACATTATTTCGTTGCTCATTTTCTCAGCCGGTATTGCGCCAGGAGATTCGCTATGATTGCGCCAGTCAACAGTTGCAACGGTCGCAGCCGTTGGCAACTGTTGTTGGCGCCATTTACCGACGCCCAAGGCCCAACGTCCAGCGCACATTTGCGTATTTAATTTCAAATGTCAAAGAAATCTCAACTTTTTGTCCCTCGGCCATACTACACCGCGCCTTGAATATGCCCTGAATATGCGTACTTAAACAGACTCCAATGATTACGGCTCGAGCATTTGGCGACTGCAGGTGCTTATGGATCTCATAGAAACTTCAAGTTAATGCAAATTGCTCTTGACTCCATTGTCTTTCATGCATATCGATGATATGTGCTCATATGCCTTTCATAGTCCGCATTGGCAGTGACTGCACGATGTGACTTAATTCCCATGCCTAGCAGTCAGCCAGGCTGCCAGGCATCCAACCAGTCGGTCAGTCAGTCAGTTGGCGTCGTCCGTGCTCCGTTGTCGCATTTAACGGCAACCGGGAGTTCTTAAGAGCTGTAAGCAATATTATGCTACCATAAATACTCTTCATTGTAGACCATACTGCCTTGATGAAATGTCCCACAATGCTTAACCCCATCTTGTGCAGAGGCTGGCTTCTCTTGGCCTAGTTTATGACACGGCACGTGTGGGCGTATACGCAAATAGATTCGCCTCAGAATTCAATGGACGATACAATTTCAATTTCGTTTCTCTCTCTTTTTATCAGACCGTTAGTCAAGGGGATAATGATGGCATGTTACACAATCCAATGCTCTACGATCCACTGGATGGCGTCGTGAAGACCTCCAAGACCCGCCAATATATAGCCGCACTCCTCAGTGAGACTATACGATCGAGGATGGCAAGAATGATCTCATAACTGTGCTCTATATCTTCACAGTTTGCCTGGGCGCTGTTGCTGCGGGCACTGCCTTGGCCTGGACCAGTCCCGTGCTGCCTCAAATCAGTGCGCCCGTAGTTAATAGCAGTACAATAGTGGCTCCGACCAAGTACACTGGAAATGAGACTAGCCCAGTTAGTCCACCCATACCGCACGATGATCAACTACAACTAACTGTCGCCCAACTTCAGTTTCTTTTATATCGCTATGCTTACATATAAGAGTATTATCGGGGGCAATTTATGACTTTAATCTGTGTTCATTTGATGTCACAAGACTCAATCGAAGAATTTATACAGTTCTCGGCATGAAATTTACAAGGTATAAAAGTAACCTGTTAAAGATTTTTAATATATGTAAGCTTATTATCTGCATATGTGTTAAGAATCAAAAATTTTTGTAGTTATACCAGCCATTCGATCTCCGAAATTATTATCTGGAAACTGATTCTGAGATTTTAGTTAACAAATGACCCCAATTCAACTTGATGTCTTTTAATTTCATTTATTTATGAGAAATATATTATTAGACAATATAAGGGTATAGGAATAACTTTGTGTTTAATGCATTTATTATCATGTGAGTCAAGTTCTAATCGCCGTAAGTTTCATGATGTCACCACTCAATATATTTATTTGCCTTAAACTGTATTGCAAAGTTTTCAAATGAAAGTACTTTTAATTGGATCATACATGTATTCCATTTTTGCCCAATTCAGTTCATTCATGATGTATAGTCCCTAAATATATTTACTGGTAACAGATGAGAAAACTTCCGTTTATAATTTCACTCCTTGGTTTTAACAGGCTAAGCTGAGCACTGGTCATCAATCAGTCAATCGGTCAGATTTGCAGTTCGACGACAATCGTTTCACTTACATAAGAGTTTACTCCCAGAACTGAAAATTTCGATATCCCACAGCTTAGCCAATGTTTTGAGTATTAATCATTCAATCAGAGCAAACAGTATATATGAATTATTGTGACATGATAACTGTTTCAACTACAAATTAATTAGATTATATTTGATCATCAACCAGCAGTCAATCATCAATCAGATCGATCGCTCAATCGGTCAATCCTTCAGTTAGGGCAAACAGTATTACATGTGTAGATTGATGATAATTGTTTTTTGCGTTGTTTACTTGCAGAGACTTGGGTTAGTTCACTACTGGCCATTGGGGCTTTCTTGGGCGCTCTACCCACGGTCTATATGGCCGATGCAATTGGCAATTGGCACTGCTGAAGAAGGTGAGCCGTTACTCAACGTGATATTTCCCTGCGAGCTCATTGACTTTTCTGATTTCTTTGACAGGGTCGCCGCGCGGAGGCAGCGTTGTCCCTAAAGTGGCTGTGGGGTCGCTACTGTGACTCGCGCAGCGCCATTCAGGTCATACAAAATGACTTGGATCAGACGGGCGCAGATGCCTCGTTCCTGGATCTGTTCACCAATCGTGGTGCACGTAACGGACTCATCATTTCCATCCTGCTGATGTTCTTCCAGCAATTCTCGGGCATCAATGCGGTCATATTCTACACTACTGGGCGCCTACTTTGACATGAAGGACAGCGGCAAGGATGTCTCGCACATTGGCTGGCTGCCGTTGCTCTGATTGGTGGTGTTCATCATTACCTTCTCGGTGGGCAACCCGTGGCTGATGATGGCCGAGCCCGATGTCCGAGCCACCGCCGTGGCGCTCACTGTCATGGCCAACTGGCTGTGCGTGTTTGTGGTGACCAAGTGCTTCGGCATCATGATAACAGAGTGGGGCTCGGATGTGACGTTCTGGTTCTTTGCCGGCTGCATGGCCCTAGCTACGGTTTATGTGGCCGTTGCCGTGTTGGAAACAAAGGGCCGAAGTTCCAGTCAAATACAAACGTGGCTCAGCGGACATTAAAGAGAGGGTGCAGGCGCATATTACGCACACGCCGCGTGTCACACGAAATGTACAACATTTATCCATATGGTTTCTCTGCTTAAGTGTAGTTCAATTATTTCCTAAGTACTCAGCCAACTCAAAGAGATTCGCTTAGATTTTTATGTACTCTATTCTATGTAAATATATATATATATATATATATATGTTTGTGTTAGGTGTGCGGCTGTAAGACATGTGCTTATATTTATTTATATATTTAAATATATATATGTATATATTTAAAATGTCTGTGTCTGTATATAATATTGCCAATAAAGCACTTCAATCATGTTGTAATGCATGAGCTGATGCATTGGCCCCAGCCGATAACCCAACGGCCGCTTACGATGGGCTGCATTTGGCGCCTGCCAATGCAATGGCAACGCCCCTTCGAATCTGCGGCTGTCATAACAAACCCGATTACTTTTTTCCCTGCTGGACACGCCCACAATTGGCGCCGTTTACAATCGCAAGCCGATGCCCGCTGGCCTTGCACTTGGCCTTCGTTCGTTTGGCAAGGCCTTCAATTGATCGGTAGATAGATAGATAGATCGACGCACCGACGCAAATTGATTCTATGCCAGGTAGCGTCGATTGCAGCATTGTCGTTGTTGTTGTTCCATTTTCTAATTGCTTCAACATATTCTCTTTTTGTCGTATGCAAATATTTAATTACTTTATTTTTGTATTCCTGTTGAATCAGGAAACACTATTTGGGAGCCCCCGTTTACCTGATCAAAGCGTCTGTCTATTCACACAGGTGTAACAGGTTGTTGTTGTTGTTCTCTAGATCCATTTGAGCCAATAAAAATATATAAATAGATAACTGCTCACTGTATATCATAATTTTATATGGCTGATTATGGAAAATGCTGCCTGAGTGTCTGGCAAATGAATTGATTGATTTATTCAACACTCAACAATGACAATGATAGTTTAGAGAATAAACATAATGAGTTACTCATATATTTGCCAATATGGTAAATATTTACAAAGCTAACAAGTTTTTCTGTCAACAACAAACCTGACCTACGTCAAACCGAACGACAAATATTGACATTTGTGGGGAAATAAACTGAGAAACGCCATTTGGCGTAGCTAGAAAGTTTCAAATATTATATGTAAGGAAAGTTATTGGAAGAAAGCTGGGAATATTGTGACCTAAGAACATTTTAGTAAAAATAAAATATGATGAAATTATAAATATATTTAAAATTTAATTGTTAATAAACTAATAATATATACATAAAATATAAAATAAATATATTAATTATAAGTAGACGGTAGAAATTATTCAATTGCATATATGCGTTATATGCGATTCTCAAAAATACAAACAAAGTCTCCAGTCCTGATTTACCAAGCATTTGTGAAAACCCTTGGCGAATGCAGCTTGATAAAATTAAAAATGATTCTATAAGATTCAATTTATTATAATTTTATAAAATTAATGTTGTCTTACTTATGAAGCCAAATTATATGTATAAAAACGCATCAGCTCTTTGGTGCGGTTGCTTTACTCTAATTAATCATTTTTTACTGAGTCAATGTACTGCATTCAAAACAAAGTAAAGTTTAATTGAATCCCAAAAAAACCAAACGTGCCACGCGTCAGGTGCAAATGTCTTCCTTTCCAAAAATTTTATACTCAAATACAATAACTAAGCGAGCCTCTTGAAAAAATCTATATGCGAGCATATATAAGTTTTTGTTTACAATCGATTGTATTAAATTATTTATTCTGTGCTTTAGCCGATTCCGGCAGGAATCACTCGTCTCTGTGATGACGCACATAAATTTCCATTTATAGAAGCACAACAAATAAAACATACTGATTGCCCACATCGGTGTCATTTTAATTAGTCGGCACGCACGTTTATAATACCTAAAATCCGTACGAGTCTCGTTGAGAAATTTAACTGTAGCGCAACGTCGACTAAATAAGTCAATCCCCCCCTAGCAAATTGTACGCTGCATATCAATTAACTTCCTTAAGCCGTTTGGTTACACTGTTTCCCATACCCCGTAGAGGGTATCCAAATTTTAAGATGTTTTTCGTTACGTGTGGACTAAGACTTGGAGTATCTAGACGGCCTGATCTGTATAAATTTTGCAGATATAGCTATGAGTTGACTCGTTATTTGTTCGTTGTAACGTAAGGCAAAGGGTTTGTCATGATATCATCGAAGCTCATACCTTGCGTAGCAAAGATCATGATAAACTGTTGATGTGCCTACCGGATATAAAAATGTAATCTAAACAGTTTCAGGAAGTAATAATTATGTATGTATCAAAGAGTGTCTGAATCTTATTCTAGTATATGTAACAAATATCATCATATTGTTATATCATGATAATACCTGTTTATCGTTAAATATATGAAAATTCTACAGATCTCCTCGAGAATATATAGTGTATGATTAATATGAATCAACTGTTCTAGCTTGTCTGCTTATCATATTTTCTGTGATTAAATAATCTTAGAATCATACGGAAAGTTTTAGAAGAAATTGTTGAGCATTGTCGTTGACGGAGCCGACAATTTATCATAGAGATATCATAACTTTGCTGTTGCTTATTCAAGACAGGCTTATCATATACCATACATATCGGGCTATAATATATATATATATATATTAAAGTATTTCAGCTCTTCAGCTCAATTATATGTTATCAAATATAAAGAAAAATCGCAATCAAATTTAAATTAAATATCTGTAGAGGGTATTTAGTTGTGCATCCACTTTTTTCGAAACTATTATTATTAGTTTATTTACTTTGGCTTGTCGTAAAATAAATAAAAAATGTTTGCAACAAAGTGTACGGAACTCAGTCTATAGAACATACATTAAAATTCCGAAACAGTTTCAAATTCTCGTTTATCTATACGATTATAATTTGGCATTAGGAGTAACTAGATTTTTTTTTGTAATGACAATTCGCTGGGCAGACTATTCAACGGCAGTGTGATAAAAAAGTAGAATAATTTAAGAGCGCAGCTCGGTTCAACGATCGTCCAGCCCGACGATAATACGATATAATATATGCTTAATAGTTATTATACTCTCTCTCTCTATGTGTGTGTGTGTGTCAATATATGTGCATGCACATACATGCATTCTCCATAGCGATCGTACATGGTTGATTTGTGCTTATTATCTTACTCGCACTGGCTACAACTAAACCCGAACTGCGAATATGCCTCTGTCATAAATTCTCGGCTCAATATATTTTGAATATAAAGTGAACCCACAAAATCGTCGTAAAGCTGGCATTCGGTTCCTGACAACGACTGACAACGGTTCTCTACGATCTTAAGTGCTACAGCGATAAACTAAGTTTGCAGTTCTCCACTGTTCGGACGATACAAAGAAGACTAAGCTCTCGAGCTATCAATAAGTTAAATAAATTTAAAATAAAAACAACATAAATATTAAAAATATTATTGTTTCGTGTCGTGAGTTAAATAATGTTTGGCAAAATGGGTGAGTAAACTATGAGAACAGTTATCATATAACATATATATTAATGTGAAACATGTGTATGCTGGTACGGACAGTAAGAAGACTATATGTATATTAGTATAATTTATTACTAAAATATAGCCTTATCAAATAATATTGTTTTCTGATTTATACCTTGGCTATAGTTACTATTTACTCTTCAGAGTACAAATGCTATTATCAGCTAGAGACACGGAACTTAGTATATTACTACCATAAAACGAAGATCATGGAATCAATTAGAGTTACAGCTAGGATCGTACAAGTTATATACATAAATGATATAAGCTGCTCTATATGGACTATCATTTTCTTCTTAACTTTACCGTGAGCAACTATTTGGCAGTCGGAGAGGATCAACTGTTATTTATTTATTATTTGAGTGCTGATCGATTGCATTGAGCTACTTTAAGTGGTAGAAATTATTTTCTATGTGAGTTTGTCGGTTCAAAAAAAAACAACATGTTACAATAGAGCCTCCAATCATTATTATCGGTCTACACGGTAATCGACAAGTTCTCGTTGAGTGTGGGACTTCAATTTTCATTTGGGCCATGATCAAGTGCTCAACATGGTCAACAGTTTTCATTTGACGTCGTAGCCGATGGTCTTCGATTTAGTGGCTCTACAGTTTCAGAGTAAAATTTTTTGGTGCTCCATAAATATTTTATTTTGTTAAGGATCAGATATCCTTTGAATCCTAGAGATTGTTATAATATTGTGAGTACAAAGTGAATGTTTGTCATAAGGAAATATATAGTAAAATGACGTAAATAAACAGCTTTACAACTATACAATTAAAATTAAATTAACATATTTATAATGTATTTGTAAAAGTAAATGAAAATAATACGATTATTTACCGAAACCAAAATACTGAATGTTTTAACATAAAACAATTTTATTTTAATTTAAAAAACAAATTTATCCTTATTTTATCCTTTTAGCTTTTGTATGAAAAATATGTTAAATAATTATAATTTCCACTGATTTCCACATCTGCAACATTCTCTTAAAGCCATTGAAGCTTATGACGTCACAGTCGCATATTTATTGTTATTTGAAAGTCACCCAAACGCAGCACTCGACTTTATCTATACAAATTCTCTCCTCTATACACACATATGCATACATATATAATAAATCCAAGTACATGTTTCATGTTTTGTCGGCCGCCGTCTGCTATATTGGTATATATTGAATTTTATCAATGAAAGTCTACAGACATTGATTAAAGCCGAATTTCGCGTTACATGCGAGGGAATTGCACGACAGCGGCCCATATGCTGGCAACTAATCAAGAAGTTTTGACGATTACTTGATTCCCAAATTGTGTCAATGTGTCACAGCTGATATGATATAGCCACATGTATAAATACTGTAATGATGTTGATGTCTATCCCATAATTTAGGGCTGATTATATATCTGCCGGGCTGTTATAAATCATTTAACAATTAGGCGACTAGAAGTTACTCTAGTACTAGGTATGTAGAATATATTTTTAAGGGATAGTAAATTGTTATTACTTACTTACTCTTCCTTCAATCTCTCAATATCAATAGTTTCAGTTCTACTTGTATGAAATGAATCAACTTTGTACTACTTTAAGCGTTAAATAGGACGATGGACAGATGGTGGAATTCATCTAGACCCAAACAGTTTATTTTACTCGAAAATGTATATGTTCCTTAACTTATACTTCGTATAAGTTTCCATTTCACTCTATCCATAGTACATATAAAGCAATCGGCTTTGAAAATGAAAACTCGTTGCTAAGCAGTTTGAGAATGACAACTGAAAACATTCCCTAAAAATATTTAATTCCTATGTGGCAAACGCCTGATGAAAACTTGTAGTATTATAAATGGTGTTATTCACTATTGACACTTTTAATGAGTAGTTTAAGTATTAGTTCTATTATTATAATAATAGAATGCATAAGAACGCGCTTAACTCTGTAACTTAACTAAATGAAAAGAATTTGCACCAAACGCATGGTAATTGTTAGACTTGGCCCAACAATTGCTGATTGAATTGCTTAGACATCATTATGACTAAGTAATGCCAAGTCAGTCTAATCCCAATTCGCCCATTGTCCTAAAGCAAAGTGTTAACGTCTACAGAAATGAGCTATATATATATATATATATATATATATATATATATATATATATATATATATATATATATTTTTTTTTTTTTTTTTTTTTTTTTTGTCAGATTATAGTAATATAGAGCTTCAGCTTCAATACTATATAGCCACAATCTATAACTGTAGCATTAGAATGCAAACTATTAGAACAATGAAGTAGAGCTTATGACACCCTTCAAACTACTTAAAGTGTGGAGTAGATCGAGACTGAAAATCCGGGAAAATTTGAGATAAACTTGATGTTGCTATATGCTTAAAGGGATATGTCTACATGATGAAAATATTAATTTCTAAATATTTATAAGTCCACCTACGTGAAGTCCGTCTACTTTTCTCTATTCAAAATCAAATTCCAATTAGGTAAATCTTGACTTGGAAAAGTTTCTTTGATAATGTAACTAGTTAGATAATCTGTACACATATCTACAGATAGTCCCTAACTATCTATGCACGTACGTTGGTTACATAAATGAATTGAGTGTTTTTGATGACAATATCAAGTCAAATATTATTATTTTTTGTTTTTGTGTCATTATTTCAACGAATTTCACTGGCGAGTGCAGCGTAAACAATTAACGGAAATTACTAAAAAATTACGTGGATTGATTCCTGTTAGACCCATGATTTTTATATGCAGGTATATATATATATATATATATATATGTATGTGTATGGCTACCTATATACGTATGTATGCACATACAGGTGCGCTCATCGAACTGGCGACTTAAGCCTGAAGTGGGTCGAGCTATGCAAACAAATTGAGATTGGATGAGAATCGTTGCCTTATCGCCTGGGTCGGTTCAAGTGCAAATGCACACAAGTGGCGCAACAGCCCAGAATTGTGTGTTCAAAATGTCAATTCCCAGTAGTGGCAGTAGTTGCAGTTGGTTGCATCGATCCGAGCACAGAGCAGCTGAACAGAAATCGAACATACAAACGTAACGATGATTGAGTACTAGATGGATGTGCCATCGCGCTATGGGGATTTCTGATAAGATAATGTGCTCTTACAATTGTCTCTCACTCACACACGCATACAGTCACATCATTGATTTCATATTGACTTAAGGTTTTAATACAGGTCCCCAAAATACGAAATCAAAAACCTTTAAATTCATGTGATTCGCTGTGCGCTTCAGCATTTCGAGTCTCAGTTTTGAGGCTTGCGGATCGCAGATCTTGTTTTCGTTTCGATTCGATATATATCAAGTGAACTCATCTGAAATTTAAATGTAAGAATTATGCATTAAGTGAATCGGGCTTTAAGATTTAATTTGAACTGATAATAAACAAAGTATATAAAATATATATTAAGTATAAGAGATATAAAAAATTTTCGTCTATATTGAAAGTGTCAATTGTAGGACAGATAATAATAATAATAATTATAATAATGATTATTAGCGTTGTCCACAATGCAATTAAACTGATTTTGTAATTTATGGCTACGGCTCATTAAGAGTTCTATAAGCAGTAAAGCTCAGCGAATGATTTCACATCAATTGTATTTTTATATGAAAACAATTTTTTTGAAAAACTTTTTTTGCTTGTTTTGTTTGGCTTAATAAAAACACGTTAATTAAATACTTTTGAATATAAAACGTAAACAATTACAAAAAAAAAAAACTGTGTGGAAAAAAATTAATGAAATGACTTCCGTAAATAAATACAATTTTTTTTGAGCATACGCGGCGTATGCGCAATGTGATTGATAGAGGAATGTGTGAAAGCCTTTTCGACATTCTTTTGACAGACATCGATCTCATTTGAATGCCTGAACTCTTGATCCATTGCAGCTGCTACACGTGAGCAAGCCAGATGCCAACAATGAGCAACCAGCTGGGAGAGAAACGTGAACAGTCTTACGCAGAAGTAAGCTCCTTCCAGATGAGCGACAGCTTATCCCGCAACATGGAACCAGTGAAGACGGGTCGCATCTTTCTGGCTGCTGTGGCAGGTGAGTTGTTGACATTATTGTTTCAACATTGCTCAAATTGACTCTCCCCTGGTTGTTAGCCAACTTGTCCGCCTTTGTGGTGGGCACCTGCCTGGGCTGGACCTCGCCCATTTTACCAAAACTGAAGAGCAACGATACCTCGGACTCGCCCCTGGACAGACCTATAACGTCTGACGAAGAGGCCTTGATATCCTCGCTCATTGCAATTGGCGCCCTGGTGGCGCCCTTCATCGCCGGCCCACTGGCGGATCGGGTCGGACGCAAGTGGGTGCTACTCTCCAGCAGCCTCTTCTTTGTGCTTGCCTTCGTGCTCAACATAGTGGCCTCCCAGGTCTGGATCCTGTATCTGTCTCGTGTGATTCAGGGCTGTGGCGTGGGCTTCGTCATGACCGCACAGCCCATGTACGTGGGTGAGATCTCCACAGACAATGTGCGCGGTGCCACCGGCTCACTGATGCAGCTCTTCATTGTTTGTAAGTAGCCAGACTTGGATGAGGCGTACAATTATCCTGAGTAACCCTTTCTGCTGTTTCTTCCCCTTTGTTTAGGTGGCATTTTGTATGCTTACGCCATCGGGCCGTTTGTGTCGTACCAGGCGCTGCAGTGGGGCTGCTTGGTGGTGCCCATCATCGCGGATGTGGTGTTCTTCTTCATGCCCGAGAGCCCGTACTATTTGGCCGGCAAGGGACGCAAGACAGCTGCTGTGCGCTCTCTGCAGTTTCTACGTGGCCAGAGCGCGGAGGGCGTGCACGACGAGATGGCCGTGATACAGGCCAATGTTGAGGAGGCCATGGCCAACAAGGGCAATATGCTGGATCTGGTCAAGGTGGGCAGCAATCGCAAGGCGCTGCTCATTTGCGCCGGCCTCATCAGCTTCCAGCAGCTGTCGGGCATCAATGTGGTGCTCTTCAACAGCCAGTCGATCTTTGCCAGCGCCAACACTGGACTGGATCCTGCCATTGCCACCATCATTATTGGATGCGTGCAGGTGACCTCATCTGGCTTAACGCCCATCGTCGTGGATCGGATGGGCAGGAAACTGCTGCTGCTCATCTCGGCCAGTGTCATGAGCATTGGCCTGGCGGCCCTGGGCGGCTTCTTCTACATGAAGCTGGTCGTGGGCGATATCTCCAGTGTGCTCTGGCTGCCAGTGCCGGCCCTGATCATCTACAACATTGTCTACTGCACGGGCTTCGGTCCACTGCCCTGGGCCGTGCTTGGTGAAATGTTCCCGGCCAATATCAAGTCCGCCGCCTCCTCTGTGGTGGCCAGCACCTGTTGGATTCTCGGCTTCCTGGTCACACGCTACTATCCGGCACTTGATGCACTTGGCTCCTACTATGCATTCTGGCTCTTCTCCGGATTCTGCATAGTAGCATTTTTCTTTGTCATGTTCATCGTCGTAGAGACCAAGGGCTTGAGCCTGAACCAGATTCAGGTTCGTCTGGGTAGCAAGAAATAGATTTAATTGTAATGTACAGATCCTTGCCGACCCTATATACTTAAGTCATGTACGCAAGTATTTAATTATTTATTTATAAGAATATTTTTACATTATTGTTTCATTGAAATAAAAACTTATAAGATTTACATGAATCTCTTTTATTTATAAATGAAGGTTATAGGATACTTTTAAGGATAATAGAAAGGGAGGATGTGACGAAAAAAATTTAAGATTTAAGTCTGCAAATCTCACGAATATTTAAATATGTATATAAAATGATTTAAAATAATTTATTTTTCAAAGAAAATAAGTATTTGATTTCAAACATCCCGCTTAATACAATTGACAAAAAGCAAGCTGATGCATACCTTTAGTTTCATACACGTAAGCTACTGTCCATCATTGCACTACTTTCGATATATACTCTTATCGCTCATATCGCTGAAACAAAAAATATTGCTGAACACTGTATATCGATATACCGTATGTTTCAGCCCTGGACTTAGCTGTTCTTGTTTTTTCGTATGCTTTTGCAGCGACTTTCGTCAGTTTCATTATAATTGTCGACGTGTGGAGTGCTTCGCGCGGAAATTTTCGCGTTAATTTGTTGTGTCAGCGCGAAGCGTAACAGTGTTTAGAGCTTCTATACAAGTGTGTGTATATGTATAAGTGTCACTGCCTGTGCAAAACAACATAGTGTTAAATAAATTGAATTAACGACAAACAATTGAAAAGCTAGCATAAGCAAAATATATTAATTTAATAATATTTTATACATCAGGCACAATATACGCGCAATCAAAAACACCCAATGCCAAAAAAGAGCTAGCAACAACAACCGAAGACAAAACCCACACACACATACACACCGAAACACAAATATCAATGCCGTTATAAATGTTTTTTTTCCGCATGCAAATAAAGGTATCAGCTTTTGTTTACACTTAAGCGCGCCGGGAGTGCGTACACTGTGTGTGTGTGTGATTGTGTGCGTGCGTATGCACAAGTGCTTGCAGTTATTGTTGTTGTTGTAGCCAAGTGTTTGTGAATTGCTGCGCTGCATCCTGTTTCTTTTTTCATTTCGAAATTCATATCCAATTGGCAGCAGACACAGCGCCAAGTGATGCCAGCAGCAGTTAGGACCATCTCCTGAACGGCTTTACCACCCCACCACCAGAGCCGCTGACACGGGAAGTGGAAGTGATGTCATCGCATTTGCCTGCCGCTGCAGTCGACAAGAAGAAACTTTACTATAAACGCCGACATTCTACAAATAAAGGAGCAGCAACGACATAGCCGCATAACAGAATTATTCCGATTGCTCTGGATTCTAAAGACAACGTGTGGAAAATGCCTCGGTCGCTTTCCCATTTACATTCACAGTTGCAACGGTCGCTGCGGCTGCTGCTGCCGTTGCTGTTGCTCAACATATGCTTGCAACACGTCGCTGTCGTCACAGCTGACAACTTGGAGTCAAAAGGTGAGTGCGCTACGTCTAGCTACAGGAACTTCCCCTAAACTATCAACTTTCCCTCTGGCAGTATCTGAGCAAAATATGCGAACAGAACAGAACTAATTTAAATAATGTTTTGCACAAAGAAGAAAAATAAGGAAAACAACAAAACCAGTTGGCAATCAAGTTCAGAGAGCTTGCGCACAGTGGAGCAAACTTTGCTTGTCAAAGAAAACTTTAACTGGCCACATGAATCGGTGTTGATATTAAACACAAAAGTAAAAGTAACATCAGTTTTATGGCCTCAATTATTTGTTAAGATGCTCATTTAGATGTTCCTCACGATATTTTTAACCACTGTCTGTCTAGCTACCTTTGTTGCGCTCCTAATAACCTTGAGCTTGTAAAACCTGATTCCGCATGTAGATCTTCGTTTTGTTTACTGATTGATAAGACAAAGTGAGCGAGGATTGTTAAGATATGATTCATTCTGGAATCAAATTAAATATTCACAAATTTGGGCTTTACTGTGAAAAATATATGTGTAAAAAAATAGCCAAGGATTAAAAAATTAATTAAATAATTTAACTTGATAAAAAATTATTTATAATTTATTTGATCTTTTTTTATTATCTAGAAATTTGTAATATACAGTAAATAACAAAAAAATAATAATATCTTCAAAATTTTATTATAAATTCTCTAAAAAGTTCTTAACAAGTTTTGCTTTTTGTATTATTCAATTAAAAAGTTCTATGTAGTTCTCTAAAATTTTTTCATAAAATGCTTACCTTTCATATTATAAAGCCAAAGTTTTTATACCCTGAACCCATTGAAAATGGGAAATCAGGGTATAATGGTTTTGTGAAAAGTATGTAACAGGCAGAAGGAATCATCGCAGACCCCATAAAGTATATATATTCTTGATCAGGACGACGAGCTGAGTCGATATAGCCCTGTCCGTCTGTCCGTCCGTCCGTCCGTCCGTCCCTCCGTCCGTCCGTCCGTCCGTCCGTCCGTATGAGCAAAAGGATCTCAGAAGTTATAAGAGCTAGAGAGCTGAAATTTGGCATGCATACTCGTGTATATCATAGGCAGTACGAGTTTGCTTTATTTTTTCGATAACTCATCCGATAACTTTTTTATCGAGAATAATCGAAAAATCGACATTGTTTTTTCAGCCTAATTTGAACACTTTTCAACCAGAAGACTTCAAATTTGCGTTGTATATAGAGTTAATGGATACAAAGATTTTGTAATTTACAGATTTTGGATACCACGCCCCCTTCGCCCCCAATTTGTAAAAAACGCATTTCAAGTACTAGAGACTTGTGCTTTGGAATGTACACACATTTTAACTATATGAACACATTCTGAAAGTTTCATAAAGATACTCTTACTACAAGAGAAATTATTCAACTAATAAATTCTCATAATATTGCCCACATTGCAGCGCAGCCCAAGCGTAGCCGCTGCTTACTGCGCAGTTAGCAGAGCGCGTGCTTATAAGTGCATGTGTATGTATGTGTGCATAGAAGAAGTGCAGAATGATTAGAATATCAGCTTGGAGGGTTCAGGGTATCTCCCAGTCGAGCAGTCTCGACTGGAGCCTTCTTACTTGTTTTCACTTCAAATTTGAATCCTTAAATCAGAAGTTTTATCTTGTTTTTAATTTTCAGTCTTTGCTTAAGACTACAATGAATCTAAGCACTATAAGTTTCACAGTTTCAATTGTTTTGCAACTGCTTTACTTTTTCATTATACATAGAGTATTTAACAGTCGTGCACTGTCGAAGCTAACCAAGTGTTTAATAGTTAAGTCTTCTCTTTGTCAGCATTGCACGTGCAACTTCAGTTCTCCTCTCGCTTGGCCTTTGTCAACGTCTCCACTGTGGCTGGGTCTTGTTGTCTTGGAGCACTTTTTTCAATTTTCAGTTATCGGCAAAAGTAGTTTTTTTTGTCAACCTTTTGTCAATTGTGTGTGTGTGTGTGTGCTTGCCGTTTAGTGCCTAAATGTTGATTTTATCAAAAGCGGCAGCTTTATCAAAATCTCACGTAGTAACTCAGATATGCAGGCGCTAGCTTCACGCGTTTAGATTGTTTCTCTTCTCTTTCTTTACCAAATGGGGTTTCTCCACATGTTTTTCGTTCAAGTTTTTAATGTAAATTTTGTTTTTAATACCTTCACTCACGTAGCCGTCTTTTATGTTTAGGTCTGCGGCCAAACAGCAAAAAATCGATTATATATATGCACATATACTTATATATATTCTGGTGTATTTGCGTGCTACTTTTACTCTCATTGTTTGTCATTTATCTTGATATACTTCTCTTTTTTTTTTTTTTTTTTGCACAAATTAAATGCCTTAACTTTCTTTTATTTTTGTTGTATTTGCTTGATTGCATTTTGCGACCACTGTACCTATCTTTTTATACCCTGAACCCATTGAAAATGGGAAATCAGGGTATAATGGTTTTGTGAAAAAGTATGTAACGGGCAGAAGGAGGCGTGGCAGACCCCACAAAGTATATATATTCTTGATCAGCGCGACGAGCTGAGTCGATATAGCCCTGTCCGTCTGTCCGTCCGTCCGTCCGTCCGTCCGTCCGTCCGTCCGTCCGTCCGTATGAGTGCGTCGATCTCAGAAGTTATAAGAGCTAGAGGGCTGAAATTTGGCATGCATACTCGTGTGTACCATACGCAGTACGAGTTTGCTTTATTTTTTCGATAAATCGTCCGATAACTTTTTTATCGAGAATAATCGAAAAATTGATTTTGTTTTTTTAACCTAATTTAAACACTTTTAGACCTGGAGTCTTCAAATTTGCGTTGTATATAAAGTTAATCGATACAAAGATTTTGTAATTTACAGATTTTGGATACCACGCCCCCTTTTCCCCCAATTTGTAAAAAACGCATTTCAAGTACTAGAGACTTGTGCTTTGGAATGTACACACATATTCACCATATGATTACACTCTAAAAGTTTCATTAAGATCGTATGTCTACAAAAGAAATTATTCAACAAATAAATTCTCATAATATTGCCCACACTGCAGCGCAGCCCAAGCGCAGTCGCTGCTTACTGCGCAGTTAGCAGAGCGCAGGCTTATGCATGCGTGTGGATGCATGTGTATGTATGTGTGCATAAAATAAGTCCAGAATGATTAGAATATCAGCTTGGAGGGTTCAGGGTATCTCCTAGTCGAGCAGTCTCGACTGGAGCCTTCTTACTTCTTTCTTTCTTATTTTTTGTATTATTATTTATATACAACAATGACACAATCAAGCTGTCAGTGTGGTAATGGTAATTACATATAAGTGGATAGCAACAAGTTTGAAACGCACATTTTTTACCTGAGGCCAATTACCTACTAAATAATTGCAAAAATAGATAGAATGCATATCAGCTGGGGAAGATCGAAGATGCAATGCTCTGACAAACAGAAAAGTAGGATTATAAATGAACTGTTGATTTTTAATGTAAATGTCATGGTATAGCTTAGCTGAAACTTTAAACTATTTTGTTTATAATCAGAGCAAAAATGACCTTAAGCCTTTCAATATGATTTAATATCTAAATACAAAGATATATAAAATGTAAACCATAATCATTGTAATGTATATGACGAACTAGATATCTATCAATATTATACCTAACTTACATATGTCTAAAAATAATCAAGATGATTTCCTATAAGTCAAATTTAGTTCTGTTGGCATCCAAGTTATTGAACTTCTTCCCGTCTGGCAGTAGAAAATTTAGCAAATTGTCCATTTCCTTGAGCTCTTTTATCTTCCGTGCATCTGAACATCTTTTGTATTCGTGTTTTGCTTTCAATGATAATTAGCTGTCGCCTGTCTAATTACGAACGTAGAATACAAGTTGTTACGATCTCAATTGAGTTTAGGTTGGACGAAGCTCGGCTTAGGCACGTTCTCCTGGGGTGACCAACGCTCGAAATCCACTTGAAAGACGCAATTTATGCAAATGCCAACGAATGGGCTGAGGAGGCCGAGTGAAGTTGGATCACGTTGGAAAATGCATGCTCAGGCTTCCGTTTGAGTGCGGCTCGCCAAGATATTGCCACAGAGTGCGTGTGTCCGTTTAAATTCTTTTGACCTGACTCAATCAAGTCAAGCTTGAAGCTAGCCATGCTCAAGAGCTGTGCGTAAATATAAATGTGAATGTGAATGTGAATGTGAGTGTAAATGTAAATGTTACAGCCGTAAATTGAGTTGATTTTCAATTAACCCAAGACGAAGACGACGTATAATGATGATGATGATGCTGATGATAATGGGGCTTAGTTTGCTGTTGAGGCTGACCACTCGAGTTGATGAATCAAATTACTAGAGTGTATGCATAGATGTGTCGTTATCTTGTTCTACAGTTGTCTAACGATAAATATAACTCTTCAATTTTGGAGAAAATTCCTTTGAAAACGTATATTCGCAACGAAAGTCAAGAGAAATATATATGTATATATGATCGTTTATACTCATGCACTGACAAAAGCTATACTTAGTTAAGAAGATATCAGGAAGAACTTTTGATATTTTGTAGATTCCAACAAGGGATCGCTAAGATAGAACCGCTTTTTAAATATCTCATTTATAGTTAATGAAGTCAGGAAGTTGTCTATCGAGTTTTTTGTCAGTGAATGCAGTCTATACAACAAAAATGAAAATCAAAATATTTATCTAAATTGTTGTCCCTTCTGTCTGATTGCCGAGTGATCACTGTAGGTACAAATTGCATTTAAGGTGGCAGACAACGTGTCAGTAAATGCGCTCAGCTCAAGTTGTTTGGGCTCCCACGACCGGGCGTACCAGGCCGGGACCACAAAAACAATGACGCATATTAATGAACGGCTGCTCGAGTGGCTGTGTGAGCTGCTTTGTATTAATACTAGTCCAAGCTTGCCACATGAGCCGCCAAGCCGTTGCAGGAGTCATGGCCAGATGCAGCTCGGTGTGGCAGGCCCCTTATGTATATATATGGGTGTTTCCAGGGCGCGTAGGT